TCATATTAGTTGAAGCCTTTTCAGGGCGGTGAAAAAAGGGCCAAGGCTAAAGTTGGAGTGACGCCTCCCCATCTGGGGTCTGCTGTTCGACGCGTGTCGAAGTTCCTTCTGGATCAAAAATGCATCACATGCGCTCAGGCATGGGCATGAATTATTATGGGGATCTATCGGACGCAGATGTTTACGATAGTCTTGAACGAGGTCGTGTAGACAGCCGCTCGTGGCTGACACAGCACGGTAGACAGCCGCTCGTGGCTGACACAGTACGGACCTGTTGCACTGGCGACATGAAAACAACATCATCATCATCAGCAGCATCATCATCATCAGCACCATCATCATCAGCATCATCATCATCATCGCAGGAGGGGTAATGCGGAGCCAACTACTGGCGGTGCTATCATTCGCTCGTGAATAAATGCGCATTCTGCAATTGTAAATCAGGGGAGACTGTTTCCGCGGGCTGGATTTCCTAGACATAGTATGTCATACATCTGTTCAAAGGCCCCAAGCTTGAGACGCATGGCCATTGATGTTAAAGCCAATTTGGAAACCCGCTGGCGCAGGAGTCCCACTATCCTGTAGTTCAGCCCCCCCAGTGCCTGTGCGTGGCCCGTGGCCGCAAGCCGAGCTTGCGAGGCTAGACAAAGACACTTCGAGCATGGCCCTCAGCGCCGAAGCCCGCGGCGTGTTCCTCGACAGGAGTTGCACAGTCGGCGTCCCGAAAGCGTATGTCAGCAATCTCAACGCGTGGTCGCCCAGGTGAGCGCAGGTCCAAAGAGACCTGGAGCTGGAAGGTGTGGGTGCAGTGTCCCTTTGACCCCGTGTGGGCCCAGTGGGGGGTTCAAGACTGTCGCACGAATTTCTCAGCGATCCTCTGGCACAGGGCACATGCAAGATATTCTTCGGCAAGGTTATGGGCATTGGTGGCATCGTCCCCACCTGCAATCCAAGTAGTGCAGCGTGCAGCAGGGTAATGGAGGTCGGTTGGGCGCGGCGGAAGCCGTATCTACTTACCTGCCATGCCAGACAGGCGAGAATACGAATCAGCACCAAGTTTCGTATTATGCATCTCGGGCACGTGGCACGGGCAGAAAAGAATGTCGCATTTCGTAAATGCTAAACCCCTGGTTTTCAGAACACCCCCATGCCGAGGAGTAGGCAATCGGGATCAGAGTGGCGCTTACCGCGCCCCAGGGCCAGCAGTTTGGCACAGCGATCTGAGTGCTGCTCCCCAGGAGTTCTGGAGGGACCCGAATCCCAAGGAAAAAGAATTCTCGTTTGATCTCGTTGAATATTGTCTCAGAGGGAAGTTGGCCCTAAAGGAGCCCCAAAAGGTCCCCCAACTGCATAACCTTGTCCAAGAGGCACTGGGAGCTTCTGCACCCCCCTCGATTGCACCCCTCGTTGCCGTCCGCCCCACTGCTGCCGCTCCTCGTCCTGCTCCTCCGCCACCTCCTGCCGCCGCTCCTCCTCCTCCTCCTCCTCCTCCTCCTCCTCCTCCTCCTCCTCCTCCTCCTCCTCCTCCTCCTCCTCCTCCTCCTCCTCCTCCTCCTCCTCCTCCTCCTCCTCCTCCCTCCTCCTCCTCCTCCTCCTCCTCCTCCTCCTCCTCCTCCTCCTCCTCCTCCTCCTCCTCCTCCTCCTCCTCCTCCCCCACTCGTGCTTCTCCCGACGCCTTCCTCCTCCCCGATCCCCTTTGTCTCACAGATGGATCCTCCCCGTCGCGCTCCTGAGCGTGTCCGCAGAAAGGCCGGGCGCTTCGCCGGAGCTGTCCTCACCGGCGTGTGGCTCTGGAGCTCGAGATCTGCAGCAGTGTCACGGGTGGCGTAAGGGCCGTGCTCAAGATGGGGGTCTCGCAGTAGCGCCCTGGACAGTGGCCTCAACAGTTCGCAGCTGCTGCAAGGACTTCAGAAGGGAGGCATCGCCGCAGCGCCGTGCACGTTCGTCTGAAAGTTTGCAACAGCTTCCAAGAACGGAGGGCGGCCCGTTTCCAAAGTGGAGGTCTCGCCGCAGCGCCACGTACATTCGTCTTCAAAACTTACAACCGTTGCTTTAACAATAGAGGGCGGGCCGTTTTCAAGATGGAGCTCTCGCCTTAGCGCCGCGCACATTCATCGTGCACCAACTTCAAGGATGGAGAGAAAATGGAGCTGTCGCCTTAGCGCCATGCGCATTCGTCTTGGAAGCTTGCAGGAACTTCAAGGATGGAGGCTGGCTTATTTTGAAATTGTGGCTCCCTCCTTAGCGCCGCGCACCTTTGTTTTAAAAGACTCGAGTTTTCAAGGATTCGTAGGGTTGAAGTCTCAGGTGGTGCTTCGACGCGAAATAGGATTGTCAGGGCGCAACAATCACGTTGGTTCGCAGTGCTGAAGTCCCGCGCACGGTGTTTTGTCTCGATTCAGGATTGCCAGGACGCAACTGGAATCCCAGGAATGGTGTGTTGGCAATGTCTGGGATTCGAATAATACTGTTGGGAACTGAGGGGTGCCCACATCCGATCAAATATAATACTAAACAATAAGTTAGTGTGCATGCTCGTATCCTGGCGAGGCCCGTCTGCTCCCTGTTCCCTGTTTCAGGGTATGGGGGAATGGAATCCGACATTTTAAACGTTATCATAACGATTGCCTTGGGCCTCGTCCTGCAATGAACATTAATTGTTTTAGGAACTGTGAAGAGGGAACTTGGAGGGACGGTTTATTGCAACCTCGTTGATGCGTGTTGGGTTTAGACTGGTCCTCCTCCCTTCTACTCCTCCTCCTCCCTTCTCCTCCCCCTCCTCCTTGTCCTACTCTTCCTCCTACCCCAACCTGACACTGCAAGTTGTGTTGTTCTCAATACGCAGGCACCCGAACAGTCGACCCCTTCCTGGGGACCAGCCTTTCGCCCCGGATAGCATGTGATGGCCCCCAGGGCCAGAAACGAGCCCCCTGCAGGCCATGAGATAAGACGCTGGGACTGAAAAAACAATCCGCCGAGGGTCTGGCAATGGGATGGAGAACATGGGGGACCGACCACATCGCCGATGCATTTGCAATCTCGGGGCGCAAGAAATCGCGCTCCGCACCGCGCCTGGTCGCCGACGCAGTGGCATCCCGGGGGGGGTCCGGGCGGCCCGGGTCCCCGTAGCGTCCCCCCCCCCCGAGGAGCGACCAGAACAGCATCGAGCGTCGAGCCTGACCTGGCTCCCTCGCGCACCTGAGGCTGGTGGACAAACGCGGCAGCTTCTGGAGGAAGGAAAGACGGCATAGACAGAAATTTTCAACGGTCCGCGCGGCCTTCTTGGATCTGCGCTGGACACCCCTCCCTGGCGCGCGGAGCGCGCCAGGAGCGACGCGGGAGGTGCCGCGTAGGGGGGCCAGCACAGATCCAAGAAATCCGCGCTGACCGTCGAAAGCATATGTTTATGCGTACGTATGATTCCCCCTCGAAGCTTCCCGCCCCGACGGCGTTGGCTCATCTTTTGTGCCACGGCATCGCACGACGAGCCGAACCAAACTCAACGAACTCGCTTCAAGCGCTCGGGGCCGCGCGAGCGTCGGGAGTTTTCTGCGGACACCTCTGCGCCCTCGCGCGGGCCCTGTGAAGGACACCTCCCGGGCCCACACCGCGACGCGCGAGGCGCGGCAGTCGCCGTCGCGAACCACCGGGAGACCCTGGTGGCCGATCTCCTCGCGCAGCTGGCCCCGAGGCTGGTGGACAGTTATCCGAGGAAGCAAAATCGGAGCTCCGCAGAGACTTGTTGGATCGGCGCCAGGGGCAGCGCCAGAGGCGCCGCCGGGGGGGTCCAGCGCAGATCCGAGCGATCCGCGCGAAGCTCCGAAAGTTCCTGCGTCTGCAGCGGCTCTTCGTGGAGAGCAGGCCCCGCTGCCCCGACGGCGTCAGCCCTGGCTTCCGCCGCCGCGCGAGGGCCGCTCGGTGCTGAGCGATCCACCGCCGCTAGGGTCCCCGAGAGGCTGCTTGAGGGGGCCTTCAGCCTTGACCGAGGACAGCTCAGCCCAACCCCCACCCCCAGCCAGGACCCCGTTTCCCGATCTGGTGATCCAGGGGGTCCTGGCTTGGAGTGGAGGGCAGCTTTTGGGAGCTCTTCTGAGGGGCCACGAAAGGGGGGTGATGGGCATAGGGAGGGAATGCATCGACCTGGAATCGGCGATACATCGCCGATAGATCGGCGATAGGCACCCGATAGCGAATCCGCACCTTCCTGGGCAGGTTGGGGCTATCGTGCACCTATCGGCGATCAATGGGCGATTGCGTGTCGATGCATCCCCCCTATCCCCCCCTATCGTTGCCCCTGATCTTCGGGGCCAAAAAACCACTCACCCCCCAGCCAGGACCCCCTGGATCACCAGGTCGGGAAACGGGGTCCTGGAGGGGGGTGGCTGTGCTGTCCTCATTGACCATCCGCGCCCGCGCCGCCACCGAGCCGCGGCGGTACGAACCTTTAGGAGACAGCTCCAGGGAGGTCTTCGCAAGAACGAGCACACTGAGCCCAAGCAAACGACCATTAAACCAGATTGGGCCAGATTAAGCCGGGGATCAAAGCTGGCCCAGCGGGATTCGGCAAGATTCGTCGGTATCAAGCCAAATGCGGCAGGTGGACTGTGCTGAATCACAGACGTCCGCGGCCGCTGCACGGCTGAAACCCGGCTGGACCGACAGCGAAACTGAAAGTCGACCGAAAACCTGAAGGCCGCCAGCAGCCTGGACGGTCGCAGCGGCGCGGCAACCGACGGGACCTGACAGACCGAATGCAGCCGAGTGCGAAGAAGCCGAACCGACCGAACCGTGGACACCCGCAGACGAGATCTATACACCACCACCGTGCCTGGCCATAGCCCTCCTGACCCTACGATGGGGTGTACCTTCCTAGCCGAATCCAGGTTGTCGCGTACACTATCCTAGGGCCATGATGTTTCTGGTCAGGCACGGTGGTATATAGATGCCGTATGCGTAGGGCACCGTTGTGATGGGGACCCTCGGATTTGATCGCAGCTGTCCTCCTTGAGCTTTGTTCGCATGCGCCCCATCTCGTGCTCCTCTCCGTGCACCAGCACCACCACGTTCGCCTTCAGCTTGCGAATGAACTCGGAGGTCTGGGCGTAGTCAGAGTGCGCGGAGAAAGAGATGAACTTGACGGTTGCCCGAACGGCCACCTTCGCGCAAGAAAACACCGAGGATGCAACACAGCAGGCGAAAACCTGGTGCCAACTTGCCCACAAACTCCCCTACCTCTAGTCTGCCGCATGCGAATCCATTATGACGCTGGTGCTTGCGCCAACAGTCGCCTTGCTGGGTTTCCGCTTGGCCAGAGGCGTTTGGCCACGGCAAAGTTAGGCTCCTAGAGTCAGGTTGGGGGCTGCACCTGGTGTCCAATTGTTCACATGGCCGTCCGCCTCACACTCTGCAACTTCCCCCTCTTCATCCTGCACCTACTCCTTCTCCTCCTCCTCCTCCTCCTCCTCCTCCTCCTCCTCCTTCTCCTGCTCCTCCTCCTCCTCCTCCTCCTCCTCCTCCTCCTCCTCCTCCTCCTCCTCCTCCTCCTCCTCATCCTCCCCTCCTCGAACGCCCCCGCCCCCCCGACCCCCGAAGGGAGGACGCGAACGTCGGACCGGCAACCTTCCTCCCGTCATTGAGGGTCACCGAATCTGGCTCGCTCTTCAGGTCGTGGGCGAGCGTGCCGTTGACAGAGTAGCCTCGCTCCCCGCCGAGGGACGAGGAGAAGGAGAAAAGGGAGTGCGCAAAACGAGGCTTCGGATTCGGATTCGGAACGATTGCGAACCAATGTCCAATCTAGGGCACGTCCCCCAAGACCACGAAGACAACCGCGCCGACAAGGAACAGAGACGGAAAAGGAGCGGACGAGGGGAAACAGAACAGGGAGGGAGGAGGGAGGAAGGAGGGATGGAGGAAAGGAGGAGAAGGGAAGGAGGAGGATGGAGGGCGGGATTAGGGAGGGGGGGATTCAGGAGGATGAGGAGAAGGAGGAGGAGCGAGGAGGATGACCAGCAGCAGCAGCAGCAGGCCGAAGACAGGGATGGAGAGAGGATTGTAGTCTGGAAGTGTTGGCAGTGAGCCGAGCGGGGATCTCGAAGCGTCCTTGGAGCTTCCAGGGGAGAAGGAGCATGGAATGCGGGAGGAGAAGAGAGGAGGAGGAGGAGGAGGAGGAGGAGGAGGAGGAGGAGGAGGAGGAGGAGAAGGAAGAAGAAGAGGAGGAGGAGGAGGAGGAGGAGAAAGGAGCAAGGGGCGGAGGAGGAGAGGGGTATGTGTGTCTATCTCGATTCTCCCCCCCCCCTCCCCCTCCTCCTCCCTCCGCCCTCCGCGTTTAGTGGCCCAGTGGGGAGCTCCACCGAAGGCCACAATGGCACCGCCCGCATGCGTCACCACTAACCGATACAGCGTGTCGTGGCCACAGGGAGCTCCACCGAAGGCCCCAGTGGCACCGCCCGCATGCGCCAACCCCACCCCGCACAGCATCTCGTGGCCCCATACGGGGCTCCACCGCAGACCCCAGTGGCACCGCCCGCAGTTGTAACCCCCACCCAGTGTAACCCCAAAGGAAACTCCACCGAAGGCCCCAGTGGCACCGCCCGCATGCGCCACCCCCACCGAGTATAACGTTTCGTGGCGTATCTCCACCGAAGGCCCCAGTGGCACCGCCCGCATGCGCCCCCCCCCACACCCAGAACTGCGCTGCGCTTCGTGGCCAGATAGGGAGCTCCACCGAAGGCCCCAGTGGCAAGTCCATATGCGTCACCCCCGCCTGCTCCACCGAAAGCCCCAGTGGCACCGCCCGCATGCGTCACCCCAACCCAAGACAGCGCTTCGTGGCCCCATGGGGAGCTCCACCGAAGACCCAAGTGGCACCGCCTGCATGCGCCACCCCCACCCAGTACAGCGCGTCGTGGCCCCATGGGAAACTCCACCGAAGGCCCCAGAGGCACCGCCCGCATGTGCCACCCCCACCCGGTACAGCTTCTCGTGGCCTCATAGGGAGCTCCACCGAAGGCCCCAGTGGCACCGCCCGCACGCGTCACCCCCACGCAGAACCGCGCTTCGTGGCCAGATAGGGAGCTCCAACGAAGGCCCCAGTGGCGCCGCCCGCATGCGTCTCCCCCACCCAGAACCGCGCTTCGTGGCCCCATAGGGAGCTCCACCGAAGGCCCCAGTGGCACCGCCCGCATGCGTCACCCTCACTCAGTACAGCGTGTCGTGGCCCCATGGGGAACTCCACCGAAGGCCCCAGTGGCAAAGTCCACATGCGTTTCTCCCACTCAGCACAGCTTGTCGTGGCCACATAAGGAGCTCCACCGAAGGCCCCAGTGGCACCGCCTGTATGCGCCACCCCCACCATGTACAGCGCGTCATGGCCCCATGGGGAACTCCACGGAAGGCCCCAGTGGCACCGCCCGCACGCGTCACCCCCACCCAGTACAGCGTGTCGTGGCCCCAAATGGAGGAGCTCCACCGAAGGCCCCAGTGGCACCGCCCGCATGCGCCACCCCCACTCAGTACAGCGTTTCGTGGCCCAGAGGGAGTTCCACTGAAGACGCTACCCACAACTGCGGCTGTCACAACTGCACATGGTTGGGTCCTTCGCCGGGTAATTGTTCCTTGATCCCCTGGCACCCCCCACCATGTTCTTCCTCGCCCTCCTCCGATCCCCTCCTTTCCAACCCTTGCCCCCGAAATTGATCCTGCCCTCCCGCCCGCCGTCGTCAGATCGTACCGGGTTATTCCCACGGCCTCACTCGGGCAACTTCAGGCCGACGGCAGCTGGCAGCCAGGCCGGCCGAGGAAGGCGGCCAGGCCGTGCCGCCCCGCACAACAGCCACCGCAGCCTTGCCTGCAAGGAGGAGCGGAGAGCAGGACGCCCTCGCCTGCCTTCCAGGAGTCCGAAAGAGCGGTCCGACCGAAAAGCACAGCACAGCGGAGGCCACCGGGGCCGTCGGTGGAGCCCCCCATGAGGCCACGAAACGTGTGAGGGGTGTGTGTGTGTGTGTGCAGAAATGGGCATGCGGTGGGCGGCGAGGGCACATGCGGACGCGGCCACTGCGGTCTTCGGTGGAGACCCTTATGGGGTCACGAAACGTGTGAGGGGTGCGCCGAAATGGGCATGCGGTGGGCGGGGAGGGCGCATGCGGACGCGGCCACTGGGGCCTTCTGTGGAACTCCCTATGGGGCCACGGACAGTGTGAGGGGTGTGCCGAAATGGGCATGCAGTGGGCGGGGAGGACGCATGCGGACGCGGCCACTGGGGCCTTCGGTGGAACTCCCTATGGGGCCACGAAACGTGTGAGGGGTGTGTCGAAATGGGCATGCGGTAGGCGGGGAGGGCGTATGCGGACGCGGCCACTGGGGCCGTCCGTGGAGCTCCCTATGGGGTCACGAAACGTGTGAGGGGTGTGCCGAAATGGGCATGCGGTGGGCGGGGAGGGCGCATGCGGACGCGGCCACTGGGGCCTTCTGTGGAACTCCCTATGGGGCCACGAACCGTGTGCGGTCTGTGCCGAAATGCGCGTGCGGCGGGCGGGAAGAGCGCATGCGGACGCGACCACTGGGGCTTTCATTGGAGCTCCCTATGGGGCCACGAAACGTGTGAGGGATGTGCCGAAATGGGCGGGGGAACGCATGCGGACGCGGCAACTGGAGCCTTCGGTGGAGACACCTATAGGGCCACGGGTGTGCCGAAATGGGCGGGGGGACGCATGCGGACGCGGCCACTGGAGCACCATATGGGGCCACGAAACGTGTAAGGGGTGTGCCGAAATGGGCGGGGAGGGCACATGCGGACGCGGCCACTGGGGCCTTCGGTGGAACTCCCTATGGAGGGGTGTGCCGAAATGGGCGGGGGGACGAATGCGGGCGGTACAACTGGGGCCTTCAGTGGAGCTCCCTATGGGGCCACGAACCGTGTGAGGGGTGTGCCAAAGTGATGGGGGTGACGGGAGGAGGGAGGAGGGAAGGGGGGGAGGAGGGAGGAGGGGGAGGAGGAGGAGGAGAAAGAGGAGGAGGAGGAGGAGTGAGGAGGAGGAGGGAGGAGGAGGAGGGGAGGAGGGAGAGAGGGGGGAGGGGAGGGGAGGAGGAGGAGGAGGATGATGAGGAGGAGGAGGAGGAGCAGAGAGGAATTCGGGGACCGCCTCTTGAAAACGAGGACCCAACACCACAGGATGGTTGGGAAAATACATGTGCGGGAGGGGGGCTGCACGACGCAGTATCAGGGGGAAGAGCGGAGCAACGCTCCGCTCGAGAAACTGCGCGGGGCCCTTGAATTTATATGTATATATACATATGAATATATACACTCACATATATGCATACATACATACATACAAACATACATACATACATACATACATACATGCATGCATGCATGCATGTATACATACATACGTACATACATACATACATACATGCATGC